TATTTCTTCTTTTCTCCTCTCTCTCTAGGTGTAAGTACAAATAACTATCAAACAAATATATATGTTGTAATTCCATGAGGGATGTTCAGCCAGTGCGATAAAGGAATGATAACTAATGTTAACGTGAAACCTAACGGTTTCTTGACTAGTGTTAAAGCTTTATTATCTAAAGTAGAGAAATATTTATATCAGACCGAAATATACACAGAATATTTAATTAAATATCGAAAAGATTAGCATATTGCCACGTTAAAGAATTTCAGGAATTCATGCAACAAAGTATAGGAGATACTTAATGTCTCCTTTCATGGAATACAATTATGAATTTTTTGAAAACGTTCACGTCTCTCCACCGGAAAAACTATTATGTTCGGGATTACTCTGAATAATTTCATTTCATCTTAATTTCCCCACATTTCTCTTCTATTTCGTTATATCTAATCTTGCATGACTTTAATTAAACATAAGCGTTTTCTCATTTATTTTCAGTCAAAGTATATAATTCTATTTCCAAGAATATTTTGGTGTAATTTTCAGTGAATGACGATAATTGATACAGAGTGTGCTCAAAGATATCAGCGAGATTATGTAACGATAATCAAAGTTTTCTTCTTAGCACATAATACTTAGGGTGGAGATTGTTTACTTAGAAAATCTGGTATGTTTAACACAAACCTCCTAGTTACAGACGACAAAGTACAAGCCCTTTCGTATAATAATAGGGTATTGTGTTTAACATTAATGTTTGGTTGAAAGCTTTACTTCGCCGAAAGGATTTCTCGAGGTTTGAATACATAAACTAACGCTTGAGGCTGCGCTGTCAATTTCTCGATTCTTATCTACTGGAAAAGGCTGGTTGAAAGTGTCTAGTTGTTATACAAAAAAATAAGGTTAAGTTTATGAGGGAATGAACTTCAGTATTATAACTCGTATTAAGGAAAATAGCCACTATCTACATTTGACCTATTATACGAAGATTGTATTTTAAACATTGTGTACAGTGTGCTAAAACAAATGAAACATAAAAACCTTTTTTGTTGTGTTTGGTCGTATCCAGAATTATTTCATTTTACGTTTATCCGACAGTGTTTTAAGTGTTAAACTAGTATCGGTTGATATCCAGCTCCGTGTTATAGACATATTACACGTATGAGTTTTGTCTGTGTAATACATTTCCATGTGCAAAGTAAGATTGATGCCACAATTCATAGGCGATGAAGTTTTCTATTATGTCATTTACAAGTTAGGAGGGAATATAGGATAGATTATTCAATTAAGACCTTAAACATATTATTTTGAGCTTTATATAATTTCTACGTTCACTTCCGAACAGGTTGAGGGGATATAGCGATGACGATGTCCGTCCGTCTGTATAAAAAGTTACGATAACTAGCGTTATAGTTGGAGATGGGAAAGAACCCTATTTATTATTAGGTTAAAATGTCAAAAGTCACTATTTCAAAAATATACTTTCACGTTCTGTGCAAAAGAAACCCTAACTGCAAAGTACACACACACACACACGATATTTATCAACAAAACACCATTAAAACAACGACAAAATGGCTATTTTTTAATATAATGGCTCAGAGTTTATATGGGTAGCCTCTTTTATTTTTAAGAAACTTTTACATTATAAGTTTGGTTTAGCGCAAAGCTATAGAATAGGCTATCAGCACTCTGACCAGTACAGAGAATCGAATCTCGGATTTTAGCCTTGTAGGTCCATAAACATACCATTGACCTAGTGGGGGACATGATTTGAAGTACTTTTTTGCCAAAAGAAACATATTTTACAGAATTTTCAGGTACATACAGGTTCTGAAAGGGAAAAGTTAGTTTAACTATTGACTAATTTACAAATCTGGAGTTTCAGAGAATTACAGCAAATTATCTCCTAGTATCACACCTTAATGCATCTGATAAACTATTATCACATAGGAATTGACATTGTTTCTACGATAATTACCTTAGAAGTAAAGTTCATGGAAAATGCTTTAATAGCCTGCTAACATTTATGTATCCGAAATTTTTATCAAATCGTAAGTTATACAATTTAATTAAAATTATAATTTTCTTTTAATAATGTGCTTATCATTAGAATAACGGAGGAACTTAAGACCTCATCGCTGTTTTAAACACGTTTTATTAAATTATATTAAATTATTAACACACTAAACTCCTTGTGGGTTCATGAGTGTATTGTTTAAAAGGCATCTAATATAATATGAATCACCTAATAATGCAAGCAAAAACAACATCAATATTGCAATTAACGTCGCTAATTACTGCTGGTGTCCATATGAGCCCTATACAACTTCTTAAATAAATTAGTGATTTCATTTAATTCCTGTGGTATTATAGCAGACAAAAAACAACAACATAAAATTAGTTAATATATTGTAATATGTAGAAAAATATTGCATTGTATTGAGTCATGTATTAAAGTCTGGCACTTCTAGGGTGAAATGTATTCCAGTTCCACTTTGTCTGAATCTCTTCAATAATCTTGCAGTGAGCAATATGGACTTTTTAGACCAAAAACATTGGTCTAAAAGTATTACTGACAATAATGAAGATAATTATGAACACAGTAGCAACGATTACACACCTTGTCAAAATTTTCGGTTAAATGAAGATCAAGCCAATCAATATTTGAGTTTCGACATTAATATTAGATCTTGTGATTTGAAAGTTTTAAAGGTTAAAACTACCTCCCGTATCACACAAAGTTTGAATTGTTCAGGGCTCGGAAATATGACTAATTTATATAAAGCCGAAGTTTGCTGTATTATATATATGGAGAATGGAGGTGGGGGGGGGGGGGAAAGACAGAAAGCAACAAATTGTCAAGTATCAAGGGGAACATTCATAGCTTTAAAACTATGGGGTTGATATTAGTAGCCAGAGAATGCATCAGTAAAGAGATATGTGAACTTGTAGCTAAATAAGTTCACTCTTGTTATTGGTACCATTAAATAAACCACAACTGAACTAAAAATCAAATTGGGGGAATTTCAAAAATCTGTCTGTGCTAAAATGGTTAACTGTATTGTTGAGATTACAGTTAAGTTGAAAAACCCATATATCAAGTCATGAAGGGGCTTCTCTGATCAAATATGAGATTGGCCTTTTTTTTTTTTGTCAAGCACTCATGACTCCAAAGTACGGATTTTGTTTTTTTTAGATTCACAGTTTGGGTACGCTAACTACTAGGCTACGGCCGGCATGGACGCAATGTAACATGTAACTTATGTTTTCTTCTGTACAAGACTGAAGTTGGCTAAGAAATTAATTAACAAGCGACAAACAATACTTAATATAATAGCAAACAATATGGTTGAACTGCCATCTGAAATGGTCTATGTAAAAGGACGTGGCAATTTCTAAACGAAATTTTCTTTTAGTGAATTTGCTGACATAGCTTCATTCTTCGAAAAAGGAACATAACTGTTTCGATAATAATTACTCTATTTCACTAGCCTGAAGTTGACAAAAACGCTTTAGTTAAACTGCCTGTAATTATCTTTCAATCGTTCTTAAAATGTAGTGGATTCTGATAATCAAATCCTATGGAACTACTCAATTAAAAGGAAGACGAATAGGCAGACAGTTCTACATGTTATAGATGTATGATACTTTCTTGCTTTTGTTTTCTAAATTAATTTTGATTGGAATAAATGGTCATATAACAGATTCCTTTTTCTGCATATGCTAGTAAAAGAAGGAAATAACCAAAATTAAGTAGGATAATGAACAAGTGCAACATAAACTCCGACACCGAATAAAAATCAGAAGCTGACATGTCAAGAATGCGTGGTCGTTGCAAGGTCTGCCTTCAAAAAGTGGACAGAAAATATACGGTAAAATGTGAAAAGTGCCAAAATGATTTTATAAAAAAGCGTTCCCAGATATTACTATTGTGATGGTTGAAAACGATCTTACATTTCTCTAAATGTGGCTCAAAATAATTTTATAAAAAAAGCGTTCCCAGATATCACTATAGTGATGGTTGAAAATGATCTTACATTTTTCTAAATGTGGCTTTTTCAATTTTTTACCTTTCTCATTTGAAATATAATTTTAAAGCTTTGTTAAATATTACCGTGTAGTAAACTAAGCATCCAGAAACAAAAAGAAAAGTATTTAGAAACTATAAGTAGTGTATTTTCTCATGAACAAAAAATGGTTTATGTGGATTCTACTTTTAGTGAACGTATAAAAAAGTCGATACTTTGAGAGTTAAGGACAGCATGTAAGAGCGTGAATTAAGGGGGGGGGACAGTTATGTAAAAAACACAAATGAGAAACAAGTGCTTTGCTATACATATTTCATAATTTGCAAATGCTGTTTTCGCTACACAATAAATAAATAAGATTTATCGTTTGTAAGAAAAGCAAATAGTGCATAAGTTTTAGTTTATTTCAAATGACTATTTATGAAACTAAACATTTTTGTTTTGTTTTTCTCACCAAAATGAAAGACAGTCATCATCTTACTTATCATTATGCCCCATTTCGCAATACAGTAGTTGAAAATGTTTTATGTTCCTATTACATCAGTTTATCAGAAAAGAAGAAGGCCGCGTCCTTTTCATATATACTATCCGGCTTTCGCCAATAGAAGTCATAGGGCGTGTCATGGATCCGCCTTTTCTGTTTCCCATGAAAATAGTAAGCATTGGTGAATGGCAGCAAAGAATTAGGCAAACATATTGATTTGTACTGGTCACCTAGAAGTTCTAAATATTTAAGATAAGAGGAGTCATGCATAGCTTTCCTGTCATATAAACTGTCTCCCATAACAACACCAGCTTCATCTCTAGCTCCTCTCTTTCCGCATCATTTTGCCTCAGGCCACGCCTTTTCACGTCAGAGGAGAGAGAGCGCATGATTCTCCAACAGAACAAGTGTTTTTCCCATGAGTTGCTTGGATCTACCCGACTTACCTCTTCTTGCATAGTGACTATTACTCATCGCCTGTTGTGCTTCCAGTTCAACATAACCTCCCGTCTCGGGTAAGGTAGGCGAACCTACTGTGAACAACCATGTCTTTCCTAACACTGGATTGTGCCTGGCAGGTAAGTGTATCTTCTTCCTTTGTCTGTGTAATAATAAGTACAGTGAAAGCCAAAATTTGTTCCCATCCATTTACAGATTAAACACTTACAAGAATCATTTATCCTCTCGAAACAACACAGAACGTGACTCAGCTGCCAAGAGATATTTCTATTCATGTTTTCAGACTAAACATCGGGTAATAAAGAACACTACTTTTTTTTTATTCTAAAGCTGTCAGTATCTGGCTAAAGTTTGTTATACGGAAACAAATGAGCTCTAAACTCCAGTTAGCGGTACTATTTTTAGAAATAAAGGAGCATATAAAGTGTGCTTAGGTATAGTAATAAAATATTCTTATATATGAGACGGCCAACCTGTTTTCGAACCAGTTACGTACATAGAAAATATATTTTATAGATACGATGGATATACTCTTCCCTCGTTAATATACGTAAATAGTGTACTATTGTATAGAGTATATTATCAGAAAGACGTAATTTTAAGTACGGTAGTACTTAATAGTAGAAATCGACAAGAATTCCAAATAATTCACGCGGCGAAAAACAACCCTATCGAATTTCTAAACGAAAAACCGACCATTCAAAGCATTGGTTACGATATATTACATACATATATACTAATAATACGCTAAGAAGGTCGCTAACGTTTTCGGTAAAACAATTCAAAAATTTCTAAAATAGCAACTTTTTCGTACACTACCTACCTACCTGATTATGTCAACGGACTATCGCTACAAGATTTCTCCAGCTTACTTAACTGGTCTGTGGGTATCCACTTTCAATATTCCGATAAAAATCCATATTTATATATATAAAGGTGTAATATAAATGGTAAACATATCATGCACGTACTTTTCAACCCAATTCAACAGAACGGATGGCACTACATATCTATGGATAGACACGCGACAGTTTCTAGAGGTAAAGTATGTACTTTATACAGGTATAAAATAATAAGTAAACAAACAATAGTATTAAAAAATTATGAATTTTAAAATGAAGTAGTGATCCTGCTCTACAATGTTATGAAACAAGGATTAAAACTATAATCACAAATTTATAAAATTTAATCCCTATTTTGGCAGCTTTAAACACATATCTGGAGGCCAAAGTAAGGATTTATAGCAGGATCCATACTTCATTTTAAAAATTTCATACTTTTTTAATACTCTTGTTTAGTAAATTTGTCGACAGGATTTATTTGGTTAACTGTAAATCTGGTTTACTGCTTGACGAAGTTCATATATCACTCTTTTTAAGTGAAATAATTTGCTCAATACATAATATGTACTTCAAATACTTCTATTTCAGGTGTTTAAAAACACACACACTAAACTAACTGGTAACTTTATCGACACAACTTTCCTTTCTTTTGAAACATAGCCAGGTGGTTAAGGCGCTTGAGTCGCAATCTGAGGATCGCGGGTTCGAATCCCCATTCCACCAAATATACTCGCCCTTTCAGCCGTGGGGGCGTTATAATGTGACGGTCAATCCCACTATTCGTTGGTAAAAGAGTAGCCCAAGAGTTGGCGGTGGGTGGTGATTATTAGCTGCCTTTCCTCCTTTAGTCTTACACTGCTAAATTAGGGACGGCTAGCGCAGATAGCCCTCGTTTAACTTTGCGCGAAATTCAAAAAACAAACAAACAAACTTTTAAAACAAGAGGGAATGCTCAATAGCCTCGGCGCTTGAAATTCTTTTAGGTAGGATTAGAGTAAATTAATGTATAAGAATTTTTTTCCCCTTGTTATTAGCTTTATTTTGTGTGCCAGCAATACCAAGCATGGGGCGCCGATTCGATTTTATTACTCATCATGATCTTTATCAGCCTACCCTCAAATTGAAACTATTTTAGGCAGGATTAAAATAAATTAATCTATGAGATCTTGGGCGTGGTCAAATACATCAATCGAAAGGGTTTGACCTTCTGAGTACAAAAGTGCCATTAGATCTGAAATGACGAAGCTATGAGCTAAAAGTTTGTACTTGAAAAATAACTCGGAGCCATTTAAAAGCTGCATATCAAATATTTGAAACATTTTAAAATTTGACTGAAAAGGAACGTGTCTGCTTTACAAAATTAGCATCCTTGAGAATAGCCTTCTGCTACTTGGTAAGAGCATTAACAAATACATACGCAAAAAAAGTAATAATAATGCTTTACTGTAAATATTTAATCTTAAAAGTTCCAAAACGCGGTGATAAATATTCCCTTATCAATAACTGCAAGGTTCGATACTGTATCGATTTCGGAAACGATAGGTTAATTAAGGGACCTTACAGTTATTACAGTGAGCCACATGGTATGTAAATTATCATTTGCAAGAATGAAGGTGAAACATATAACAAAAGCCTAATAAGTGTATACATTAAGCATTTGTATTTATGTTAAAGCTACTCAGGCTATTTGCTGCTGTCCACAATTTTGAACTACTGAGCAAAAGGAAGTCAACCATTCAGCAACATCCTACCACCTACCAGCCACACTAAGGAATTGACTGTCACTCTTATAACGCACCCCAGCTTAAAGTCAAGGGAATATATTGTGGTATCATACGAATTTGAACCCGGCTCTCCAGCTCAAACATCCAGAGCTCTAGCATAGGGCCAACCCGCTTTCCTAGTATATGCAAATAAATATAACAAATAAATTTATCATAGGATTTGAGTAGACTTTTCAAAATATACACATTTTATTAGCTTAATAATTTACCTTTTCATAATGTCTCGAAGTGTGGATCTTGTGAATGGCTTTATAATTTGTTGTTGCGTTTTTGAGACTGTGTAACTTACGGCGGTTGCTACAGCGAATTGTTTTGTATATAAGTACATATAAGAGAATCACAACTGTAAGTCTTTAAGTATGTAGACGAATTTTTCAAACTTTTCAAAGCTGATGATGTTCCGCAAACTTTTCAAAAAGCACTGCAGTACAATGACTTTTCTATTGTAAAAACAAAGGTGTTTAGTTAAAGGGTGCCGAGAACGTGAAGAAGCTAAGCTAAAAAGATTCCACAGTAACACATATAAACAGTTATCGGTACGAATTCACAAAAATAATAACTGATTAGATTACAAAAACTTAAAAATCAAACACCTTGAAATGTCAAACACAATCTAACCAGATATGCAATACGATTTAGACCGTGCTGAAATAACTTTATGCAAAATTGTACCATGCTTTAACAGCCACAGACTGGAATGATACTCAACAATGTTCAGAATTTCACAATTATTTAAGCTGTGGACTGGAATGGTAGTAAAGTTCAAAACTTCCCCATGCTGTAACAGTAATAGAATGAAATGAATCTCAGTAACGTTGTTTTGAAAGATTTCAACCCTTTAGAGTTGAAGCCAAACAACAGGTCACGTTATAATTCACCATTCTTAACTGCAGTGACTTAAATTGAAAACTGCCTTAACAATAAGAACATGAATACAGTTCTCAATTGTATTTTTCGAATATGACTAAAAGTGAAACAAATAGCCTCAAATTACATGTAACGCAACTTGATAACGTCTACCTTTTACTTTTCCTGACACCGTAAGCAATGTACCTCAAATGCTAATATATCAGTAAAACCACTTTAAGCTGCACTGTACCTAAAATTTTACTGGTAATGATATTATAATTTTAAGAATGGAATTAACATTGCTGTCCATTTTCTCAGTTACCTAGTAAATGGATGTAATACACGCATCTAGAATTGGCGCAATTTCATGCTAACTTGTTTTATAAACTATTACTGGAATCTTAAGTGCTGTTCATGTAGCTTTGGTTTCAGTGATACAGTATTTTTAAGGTACAGTTCAGGTGCTTGGATAAGTTTCATAAATACTTTTTCGATGCTGGTACTTTTACAGGACAGAGAAATTATTGTAGGTCCAAAATTATTCTAGTGTATCGTGTCTTTCGGTTAGTATTAAGTTATTCATCACAATTCAGTGTCTTTTGTCCTTACTTTGAATGGGGTGATAGTAAGACATTTTGCTTTCATGATATTAGAGTACTTAGACAGGTGAAGACATTTTGAGACTAATAGATCAGTTTTAAATATGATGATGAAAAGTGTCATGTTATCTGACTGCAGTTCTATAAATTCAATATATATTATAAATTTAGTGCTCCCCCTTTATTTAATATGTTCGAGATTAATGTTTTCTTAATATGACAGGATTCTGTAATCAGTAAAATTAAGGAATCTTAAGTAGATTTCTCCCAGTCATTATTTTATGACAGGACTAAAACTTCTACTTTATTTAATACCTTTCTTTTTGGTGTATGTTCCAATGTAAATTCCTTTCTCAGCTGTATTTTCTTTAAAATTTTCAGTCATCTATTTATTCTGGACGTATTCATTGTTTAAAATATTATTTACTGTCCGTATTCCGTTTTATTTCACAGACTGTAAAGAATATAGCTTTCGAATTTTACATCAATTGCATAAGGCTTTGAAAGAAACTTAAAATATACTCTTCAGAGAACAAATAGTTTCGGGTCTTCTTGAATTCATGGCTTAGTATGTAATGTTTAATATTGACGTAATCATGATTTAAGCCTCGAGGGTTCGTATTTGTTCTTTGTACCAATTACGTTACTTAGACGAATTAAACAGTAGCAAAAGAGTTATTACATCATCAAACTGGGTCAGTACTAAAAGTTGTCTACCTAATTACACGTGTTTCAGAAAATAAGAGATTTGTTGTGTATAAAAAAGGTGTCTTTTCCTTCTTTTCTATGTATATATATATAATCAACTAAATACACCCTATTAAAAAATTTCGTTTCTTTTATAGAGAGACGATTTTAAAACGTAATGTTTGACTTCAGTTTTGTAAGGTTCGCTAGTCAAACATGTTCACTTTTAAACCCGTTCGTTTCACCTAGTCCTATTATATAGCATTAGCAGTTTCATAGTAAGATTTTTGTAAGTAGCTCACGTTGAGCTAATGTGAAATGAGTAGCTTACCATAGAGAGTGAATAAAGGTGTATTTT